TAAGTTGCTTCAGTATCTAATATGTACACTTTTTTATTTCACATGATCTACCCCCATATAGTATGCTATAGCAATTATTTACATAGCATTTCTCCATTGTAAACAATGAAGAAATTGTTTACAATGGAGAAATGACTTAAATATGCAAGACACAATGCATGGTTTACAGACAGACACTGTGTCATTTCATTTATAGAACTTAGGTTTCACAGATTTTTGGTATATATAAGGGAATCCTGGAGCCAACTCCTGAAGATATAAAGTGACAATTTTATATTTTCTTCCTACACTGGTGACTGGCCACTAAAAGGGAACAGATTTACTTAGTTCTTAGGGTTTTCCCTTTAACTCAAAGTGAAATTCTTCTCCACTTAAAGTATTGATACCTAATAACACTTGAAATCAATACACGAGAAAAACCAGTGATTAAACTGACTACACTATATATTTCAAAGGATTAAAAAAAATTCTTCTAAATTTCTATGGTATGTCCAACAATTTCTTTCAATGAAACAATCTGATGGGATACAATCATTTCTCATTATTTAGTGTTTATAACACACACCTGCAGAGATTTTGAAAAATACAGAAGTCTGGGCGAGCCACCAAAATTCAAATTCAGTAGAGCTGGAAAACTTTAGAGAAAACCTCATGAAATTGAGACATGAGCAATGAGAAAGCTACACTTGGTTAAAGTGTAAAGATCAGATACACTACTTTTTCTCCATTACATTAATTTCAATGCATCTTCCACAATGTCAGTGGTAGTAGATCACTTTTTTTTACAGTGAGAGCAGGGGTTATACTGTGGGGGACTGACATACAAAGCAACAAAGAAATAATCTTATAAATGTGTTAGAAACAATCACATGAAAGAAAAAAAAACATTTGAATACAAATCTTAAGGTTCATTTCCCTAACATCAACTTATCTGACCTTTTATGCTTGACTCAGACATATACAACTTATTGCAAATAAGGGAAACCATGGGACCTATGTTTCTTTGGGCCTGGCTTACTTCCCTTAATATAATTTTTTCCAAGTCTTTCCATTTCCTAACAAATGGGGCAATGACATTCTTTCTGATGGAGGCATAGAATTCCATTGTGTATATATACCACAGTTTCTTGATCCATTCATCTACTGAGGGGCATCTGGGTTGGTTCCATATCTTACCTATAGTAAATAATGCTGCAATAAGTCGTGCTGGTAGCTTTAGTGTGGTCTTGTTTGTAAACATTTGGGTAAATGCCCAAAAGTGGGATTGCTGGGTCATAGGGGAGCTCTATGTGGAGTCCTTTCAGGAACCTCCATACTGCTTTCCAAAGTAGTTGAACCAGTTTACACTCTCACCAACAATGCAGTAAGGTTCCCTTCTGTCCACATCCCCTCCAGCATCTGTTGTTATTAGAGTTCTTGATTATAGACATTCTAACTAGAGTGAGGTGATATTTCAATGTTGTTTTGATTTGCATTTCTTTTATGGCTAGTGAGGTTGAGCATTTCTTCATGTGTCTATTGGTCATCCTTCTTTCTTTTTCAGAGAAGTTTCTCTTTAAGTCTTTAGCCCACTTATTTATTGGGCAGTTGTTTCTTTGAGGATTTGTTGTTGGGGGGTTTAATTTTTTGGGTTCCAGGTATATTTTAGATATGAGACCCTTGTCTGTTGTATGGCTAGTGAAGATCTTCTCCCGATCCATGTGCTTTCTATTGATCTTGCTAGCTATGTCCTTTGCCATACAGAAGCTCTGCAATTTCATGCAATCCCATTTGTCCAACCTTTCTTTGATTTGTTGTGTTTCTGGGTCTCTATTAAGAAAATTTCGGCCTGCGCCAAGGAGATCTAGGGTTTCTCCTATTCCATCCTGTAATGTTTTCAGAGTGTCAGCTTTGACTCCGAGGTCTTTGATCCATTTGGATTTGATTCTGGTGCAGGGTGATATAAAGGATCTAGCTTTAGTTTTCTATAAGTAGTTAACCAATTTTTCCAGCACCATTTACTGAAGAGGCTGTCTTTCTTCCATTCTATTTTTTTAGCTCCCTCATCGAAAATTAGATGGCTATAGGTCTGTAGGTTCATTTTTGGGTTTTCAATTCTATTCCATTGGTCCTGAGGTCTGTTCTTGTACCAGTAGTAGATCACTTTTGTTTTGTTTTCCTTTTTATCCATTTCTTACTTTCACAAATTGAAGGGAATGATCTATAGTGCAGACTGAGTTTTTTTAATTGCTAGTTTCATGATGTGAAAAGCAAATAGGAAGAGTGAAGAGTCATTCTTCTGTGACTCTGTTTCCCTGAAATGTCATGTAGGCCACAAATGCCAAGTTTGCCTTCCTGTTACTATGGGGATGTAGGTTTCATCTGTTACTCACTTTTAGTTAACTTATAGAGTTGCCAATGAAACACAGATAACTAACAATTAGGTGAATTAATATGGGTACTAGTTATTGTAAATGCACCTTTGTGAATATATGCTACCGGTTATTGTTTATGTACCTTTGTGAATATATGCTTACAGTATAACTATTGGCTAATGACAAGTATATATTTTCAAAAGACTGTAATAAAATACTTCATAGAAATAGAATTGTGTGAACCACAGTTTGTGGAATGCTGGAACCTGAAGGATTGGTATTCAAAGCTAGACAAGGCAGAAAAGATGGTACAATTTCATTTTTAATTAACCAGAAAAATGACAGACTGGATACTGGAGGTATGGCTCAATTGGTAGAGCACCAATGTGAATAAGAAAGCCAAGTAAGAATGTGAGACAGAGAGAGAAAGAGAGAGAGAATACTGTTAATTTTTTACAATGGGACATTCAACTATAGAAAGTTCAAGTGTAGTCTTGATCACTTTGGTTTTTCTATACTTACTAGCTTTTCCCTAAAAGTTCTTGCTTTAGGAAATTCAGAGATAAGACTTGGCAGGATCATATCGAAGGTCTACTTATCTGTATGTTGAGATTGTAAGGGAAATAAAGTTTCCAAATTATAAAAGTTCTTTTATTTTGTTTTGTTTCAATCTCTTTAGTTAAAAAGAGTTCTCTTCATGCAATTATCCATCTAACATTTGGTCCAAGGATTTGGTCATTATTTATAAATTGTTGTGACCATGTCTCAGTATCCCCTCTATCATCTAGTGTTTCCCTTTCTTTCTGAGGAGACACTGAGTCAACCCTTTACTTGAAAGTAATAATCATGGAAAGAATTTGGTTATCAAGCCAAACTGACATAATCTCTAATTAAAACTGACATGTTTCTAAAGTAAAGCTTCTCAGTCACTCTTAATCTCTGTAACTTCCTTTAAATTTCCATCTCATTACTTGCTTTGTTAACTCAATAAATTTCACACACATAAAGTATTTGTGTATTTTTTTTCTTTTTGCATTTTGAATCTCTATACTGTAAGAGATTATAAAAATGACCCTTGTAAATCAACACTCTTGTAAGCCTCTTTGGCAGTTTCCTAAAAGGGAATTCCTGGAAGCTTCCAATAACTTTCCTCTTTGAATGTGCTGTGATATATTTTGGACACGACAGAGCAGCAAACAGCTTTTTAAATATTTATAGTCTCAATGCCATGTACACCAACTGTGTTTGCTCTTTCCATTTCTTTATGTGCCAAGGAGACAAGCCAAAGTACGGGAAGAAAACACTATCAGGACACAAAGTAAGCTTGTCTAATGTGTACCCTGCAGATGTAACCTAAAAGCGGAAGAGTGAGGACTGCTCCCTGGCTACATAGGGATTTCTTGATTAACAAGTCAGCTGGAAACAGTGCTCCTTTATAAGTAAATTCTTATTTTTAATACTTCATGAATCAAGCAAAAGAGTGCTGGCATGTGTCAAATAACTCAACAGTGATATTATACCCCTCACAGAGCATGTCTGGAAGTGAAAAGGTGAATAGGTAAATTCCAGGCAACATTGTGAGGCTACTCATATAAAGGCTACTCATATAATTGCCCGATCCATCCCCAACATTCACATAGCAGTAGGTTATCGCCTTAGCGTCTTGCTGCTCTCAAACATCTCTCCCTTATAAACAGGAATCGAATGATTCACACTTTAATGAGTTACATTTAATGTTACCTTATATTGATATTACCTGGTAATGTCTCAATTCCAGCTACAAAATAGAACCATTTAAAGAGATTCTCACTTAATTGGCTTGAAATGGAGCCCAGAACTTGGCATACTAATAAACATCCAAGGTTATGAACTACTTCTTCTAGATAAAACTGCATTTTCCTATTGTGGCCTCTGCTTCTATAGCAGCCATGTTTATGCATGTGTGGGTTGCAGAACACATGATTAAACCACCTGGGTCCATCCTGTAAAATGTACACCCCTCTGCTCTTGACATGAACTCATCAATACTGAATCATGATGTGTGTAGAACCTGTGAGTGTGTATGTGAATGTATGTATTTTTGGGGGGAGATTTTAAGGAGGGAGAGAAAGAAGGGTTGATGGGGGTTAGGAGAATGAGACTGGCAGCAGTGTGCTTTGAAAGCATGGTTAGCAAACTCACTCAAAAATTAATAACATTTTATTTATAATTCTTCTCTCATAGAATTAATGTTTGATCATTCGAAGTGCTTTTAGCTCCTCTTTGCTAATCAGAAATTGATGGTGGGATATCTCTATGTCATATGTAATTATATTTTAAGATCTATAATTTTTAATTATGTACACTAAGGCTTGCACTGTTTGCAAATACAAGAACGATCAAATTTAGACTAGGAAAAAGGCTTTGTAATAAATGTACATTTTAAAATATAACAGCATACATACATTTTATGTAAATACCCATAAATCTGTCATTAGTTGATAATTTGAAAATTGTAATGCATGCAGAATTTTAGAATTAGGGGCTTATAGTCATATTTTTTGAAATGGGAAGTATTTTAATCTTTTCTCTTTCTCTCCCCTTCCCTCTCTCCTACCCCTATCCTACCCCTACTCCTCACCTCCATCCTCTTCTTGTTCCCCAAAGCATCAGATGAAGAAGATCCAACTTCAGCAGGTAAAATTTCTGTATTTTGAAAACTATTACTATTTAATTTAACGTATTTTATAATGGAGACTCAATCTTTTTTGAACCCACTGTATTGTGTCACAGTGAATGATGTTGACTAAGAATTTTGAGTGAAAAAAAGTTTAAAAAAATGACCTAATACAGAGGAAAGAAAAACAGAGCATTGACATTAAAGAATAAAGAGAACTGGAAAAAAATGAGAATATTAACAAAATAATTAAAGTGGTATGTTGAAAAGGTTAATTTTCTTAAAGATTGAAAAAGGAAACCTTCATGATCAAATGCTTTTTCTTTTTTCTTTTTTGATTGATCCTGGTGCTTAAACTCAGGGTCTAGATGATGTCCCTGAGCTTTTTCGCTCAATGCTAGTGCTCTATCACAACTTCACTTTGGGTTTTTAGGTGGTTAATTGGAGATAAGTTTCATGGACTTTTCTTCCTGGGTTGTCTTCATGTTCTGATCCTCAGATCTCAGCCTCATGAGTAGCCTCTTGAGCACCCTGCACCTGGCTTCAAAAACTTTATTTTTTTTAATCAGATAGGCAAACATACATATATGGCAGTCAACATTAAGAATAACAATTACATGGGTACTTAATTACTTATTTAAAAAATTAATCTTTACAATTATAATGCAAAGGTCTGAAAACCACCATGGCATTGTCTTTTGCTCAGGAAATATGAATTTATGAAGCGTTTGAAGTAACTACATGGAGAATTCAAATAGTAGAGGAGTAAAGCTATTTTCAACATGGTTCCAGGACAAAAATGGTTAAAACCAAGACTGAAGCCAGACAAAGTGTGAAGAATAGCTCATTTAATTAACAATTGGTAAAAGAATTACTCTAGTAGACTAACAGAATGACAAAAATGGAGTGCAGCCTGAGACTGGAGGCATTAGAGGCTCTGAAATAAAAAAGTGCACTTCAGCATTAGATGAACTCCTTCTTAGTAACTGAAGAATACAATTAATACTGAGACAAATCAGCAGGGAATAGTTACTGAATCTAAAGGTTAGAATGACCCTTGGTTGTCCAAGAAGCAAGGAGTGTTGTACAATTATTGAAATGTTGGTAGAAAATACAAGTTCAATTCATAGAACAAACATATTTCTACGGCCTGATCTCCAACTTCTTGTTGCAAGTATTTTAACTGCAAAAATAAAAATAAGAATTCATACTTTATATTAGCAAACAAAATAATTACCTTGTAATCATCTTTCATAAAATCCCGTAACACATAACTATTGCAACATATGATACCAATTATAACTACCTTATCAATGGACTCACAGGCTCAGATAAACTCTCCTGTTTCATTTTGATAACATCATTAGATTATTTCAATGAGATAGGAACTCTCTCATTCATTCCTACTCTAGAAAGTATTATACTATCTTTTTTTTTTTTTGGAGCATCCAATTCACATAATTCAGTAACACACTCATGGATCCTAAAAGCTCCTCTTCTTAATGTCTGACATTGTTTCATCCTGACTCCAAAGCTTTGTTGTTTTCAGGATTGTGCAAAAACTTTCTCTGTATTTCCAAGTCTTGACTGAATTTTCTCTTTGGATATCAATCTATGCCTTCATCCACACTTCTCTAGCCTCAGTTAGCTCCTCTCTTCCTATCTGCTTACATTCTGTACCTTGTTGTTGTTTTCTGCCAGATTCTTTTGCAAAATAATTATTCTTTGCATAAGAATTAATTGCAACCCAGTGATAGATTTGTTATTTTCAAGTGGTCTTAATAACTTCTCTGTTTACTACTATCAGTTCAGTGAAATATTATTTTCCCACAATGTTGATCTTATATCAATGTGATATGAACATCATTGAGTTCATGCTTTGAAAACATTTTTGTTAGTAGATATAAGCCCATATTTTTGTTTTGATTTTTTTACACACATTTGCAAGTTAGAAAAAAGTGTTTAAATTAAATGTTTTAAGTATATAATTTTAATATAATTTAATATAATCAACCTTGAAAAAAATCAGTCATACAGATAACAATTATTTTAAATTAAAACTGACAATTAAGTAACTTAATTTTATCAAAACACTTGAGAAAAAGACACTCTGGGTAGTTCATAAATATTGAAAAAATATAATAATATTTGTTAAAAAAAGAACACCTATGTTATACTTGAATAATTGTGGATTATTTTAGTTCTTATTAGGGCTTCTTGCCCCAGATATTTCACATTTACTTTTCTTAACTGAATGTTTAAAATTCTGTTCATGTGGATTTTCATATTTGCCAAATATGTGTCTTTTTTGTAAAACTGCTCTTTATAATTCATGTGTTATGATTAATCTTCTCTGTTCTTAGATTTCTCTCTTTCCACTTTTATGTGGAATAATAAATTTTCTGGCCCCAAAGTCATTTTTGGTTGGCTTTAATTTGTTTTTCTCCCATATGATTCCTCCATCCTACTTAAATTGTCAATATGATGCAATCATTTTACCACCACAATAACTATAAATTAATTCAAATTTCCTGTCCATTCAGGGTATCTTTACCCAGTTCATATTCTTCAGATTCACAAAATCCCTGGACAAAACTCATCCAAATACATTAATATACTATTTTTTTCTAATAATCCATGCCTTAAAGTAAAATAATAAGATAATTAGAAGCTGTGCACTGGTGGCTCATGTCTGTAATCCTACTTACTCAGGAGGCTGAGAGCTGAGGATCATGGTTTGAAGTCATCCCAGGCTGGAAAGATCATAAGACCCTGAGACCCTTACCTACAATTAACCACCAAGACATCCAGCTGTGGCTCAAGTGTTAGAGCACTAGCCTTGAGCAAAACAGCTCAAGGTGTTAGAATAACTTAGACTCTGCCAGAAAACCACCTGTACATCCAGATAAGAACAAAGGATAGGTTTATTGCCTGTTAGGAGACCAACAAGACCCCTTCTCACCAGGTGAGAGGAAGTGCCTGCCTGCTATTGTCTCAGATGACCTTTTGTTACCTCCAGGATTTGGGGGATCTCACTGCCTTATATGCTCATAGCTATGCCAACAGGGTGCTCTTTCAGAGAAAGAGGGGTAGGGGCTGATCATTTGCTGCCTCTACTACATGGGCCTAGTGTTGTCTAGGGAAAGAGCATGTTAAGCCATGAAAGAGGAGGCTTCTGGGCTAATACAAGTACCTTACCCAGGCCCTGAGTTCAAGCCCCAGAAATGGCACCCACACACTAATTTATAGAAGTAAATAAGGATTTTATTTTTTCTGTCAAGGAGTCACATGCTTCTGTTTGGTAGTAATCAATATAGATATGTTTTAAGTTTTAAAATGATTATTGTTGAGTAAATCTGTATATAATTATTTAAGCACCTTCCTGAATAGATATTATTACTCAATAAATTATTATTGAATGTTTTCATTTGTTGGAATTCATGTGACAAATCTAGGTTGTTTTGCTGAACAAATACACAGAATTGGATTCATATTTTAATAGGCTTATATTCTCATTATTCAAAGTTATTTTAAAGGAAATAATAGATTTATGTCTCAAAAACTCTATGTTATGGAAAAATAAGAAAGACAGACAAAATAAATCTGAGGAAAATACTAAGATATTAAACTGTGCTTTGCACATAACATAATGCTACACAGTAATATGGGACTTGCCATCTATTACAGAGGATTTTTGGTTCACCCTTAAGTTCTTATAATACTGACATTATTAAAAAATAAATACGAGTTTTCCACTCTATTTCTGTGTAACTCTTAAATAATATAGATTAAAGAATAAAATACTCATATTTTCAAAATTGTAGTCTGGCTTTGGTTGTTCTTTTATTTGCCCTTCTAAATTATCTTGTAAAAAGCAACTGCTTAACAAGTGGAGCATCACATTGATTTATAGAGAAGATCCAAACTACTTGGCATCTGCATGTCTAGTCCTGGGGATATGCCCACCATTGATTATGAAGCATCCATTTTTAATCGTTTTCATCTCACAATGTCCTGAGAGGAGGTATTAACCTAAAGGAACATGTTCTGAAGCATCTGAATTATGAAGGCAGTTCCGCTGAACACCTGCTTTTATAACTACTGGAAGCTTCCTTTTATTTATCCTAGTAGAATCCAATGTTCATTTAAATATCTCATTTCATTGAAGAGAATAACGTATGTGTGAACTAGACTAGACTGGGTTGTATTCCAAGATCTAATTACAACATAATGAGATTCATATTTTTAAAGGAGACATAACAGATACTGTACCTCTTCCCCCACCAAAAAGGGCTCACCTTTAGAGATGATCTATTTAATTCAATTGTATTGCTGTGGCACAGTTAATTTCTGGAAACCAGTTTTTGAAATTTCCTGCACTATCTCTTTATGGCACTATACCATCAGTTATCCCTTTATTAGCATAGAATTGTACTACTGTACACATTAAAGACTTCAGTCTGAACCTCAAGGACAGTGTCCAGGCCCAAAGTTCAAGTCCCAGGACAAGCAAAAAGAAAAACTCACAGGAAACAATATTTGGGCTGGGAAGGTGGCTCAGTGGTAGAGTGCTTGCCTTGCATGCATGAGCCCTGCATTCGATTCCTCAGCACCACATAAGCCAAAAGAAAAAAGCCAGAAGTGGTGCTGTGGCTCAAGTGGTAGAGCACTAGCCTTGAGCTAAAGAGCTGAGGGACAGCGCCCAGGCCCAGAGTTCAGGCCCCATGACCAGACCCCAAAAAAAAAATAAAAAAAGAAGACTTCAGCATAAGTTATAAAAGGTGTGGTATTTTTCATGTCTTCATAAAGCTTAAGTGCCAATAAGATTTTTAAATATAAAGCTGTTCATATGACTTCAGTCCCAGTGGGTTAGAGGATAGAGGTCATTGCCTTGACTCAATAATTTCTGAAGAGGTCTCTTGTGACCTCTGTGATCTCATGGACAAAGCATTCATTCCATTACTTCAGCACATTCACCAGGTCAGTGGAAATACTTTGATAAGTTTATATTTAAATTAGC